AGAATAGAATTTAGAATAGAATTTAGAATAGAATTTAGAATAGAATTTAGAATTTAGAATTTAGAATAGAATAGGATTTAGAATAGAATAGAATTTTGAATAGAATAGAATTTTGAATAGAATAGAATTCATAATAGAATAGAATTTAGAATAGAATTTAGAATAGAATAGAATTTAGAATAGAATAGAATTTAGAATAGAATAGAATAGAATTTAGAATTTAGAATAGAATAGAATTTAGAATAGAATAGAATAGGCAGAGTAGAGTAGAGTAGAGTAGAGTAAAATAACAGAGTTGGATGGGACCTTGGAGGTCTTCTAGTCTATTTCCACGGAGGAAATACCAAGCTCAGCTTGGAAGCGGGGGGCGCATGTGTGGGTGTTGTGTGCACATGTGTATGGGGGGATGGTCTTTGGATTACAGATGCCAGCAGGCTCAGGGGCTATTGTGCACGCGCCCTCGCATTGTTGGCACTGGACAACACCACAAACGGTTAGCCCTCCCTGATCTAGTTAGAGCTGAAGAAGCTCCGTGGATGAGAAGCGAAGGGCCTTCAAAGGAAAACCAGCCCGTCCAGCTGCCTCCTGGAACAAGCCAACTGTGGGACAACTGTGACCTGGATGAGGGAGAATCGCCCTAGGCATCAACCCCGAGTACCTTAAGCGTCCGCTTATTCTGCTCCATGTCAAACACGTAGACGCAGCCGTAGTTGGCCCTGTGGACAGAGAATAAAGAGTAACAAGGTCAGTTCGTGGGGTCACACACACACACTCACACACACACAAACAGAGTGGTCACAGAAAAGGGCTTCGGTAACAACCTTGCACAAGAGAAGAACAGCCCTGGACTTACGACCACAGTCGAAGCCCAGAATTTCTACCGCTAAGGCTTCAGGCAGTTGTTCAAAGTGAGTCCTGCCCCGCTTGAAACCTCCCTTGCCACGGTTGTTAAGTGAGTAACGCGGTTGTTAAGTGAGTCGGGCTTCTCCATTGACCCTGCTCCTCCAGGAGGTCGCCAAAAGGGGGTTCGTGTGACCTTGGGAACCCAGCAACGGTCGTTAAGTCTGAACCTGTGGCCAAGCGTCTGGATGTTGATCCCCCTGATCGTGGGGACGCTGCGGCGGTGTTTTAAGCGTGAGTAACCGGTCGTTAAGTCAGTTTTGTCAGTGCCGTGGTCACTTCAAACGGTCACTAAATGAATGGCCGTCAGTTGGGGGAGCAAAAATCAAAGCATTTAAACTTTAGTCACGGCTGGGCCTGTTTTGCCTTTGGGCTTCCAAGGGGCCTTCAAAGCAAAGGCCAGAAATGGGGCTCTGGCGGCTTTCTCTTCCACTAAGAGCGGGCGCAGACAGAGGGGCATCACTTCCTGGTCTCCAAACAGGAGGGGTGAAGACCGAGCGAGGGAGGGAGGAAGAGAGGAGAGAAAGAGGGGAGGGAGGGACGAAGAGAGGGATGGAGAGAGAGACAGAGGGAGGGAGGGAGTGACAGAGGAAGAGAGCGAGGTGGACAGAGGGACGGAGACAGAGATGGAGAGAGAGGGAGAGAGAGAGGTATGAAAAGAGGGAGAAGGGATGGAGAGAGAGTGATGGGGAGGGAAGGAGGGAGAGAGGAAGGGGGAGAGGGAGGGACAGAGGAAAGGAGCGAGATGGACAGAGGGACAGAGACAGGGAGGGAGAGAGAGGGAGGGAGAGGTATGAAAAGAGGGAGGAGGGATGGAGAGAGAGAGGGATGGGGAGGGAAGGAGGGAGAGAGGGAGGGGGAGAGGGAGGGACAGAGGAAGAGAGGGAGAGGGACAGAGGGATGGAGACGGGGAGAGAGAGGGAGGGAGGGAGAGGGAGAGAAGGAGGAACAGCAGGAGGGAGAGAGGTATGAAAAGAGGGGGGAGGGATGGAGGGAGAGAGTGATGGGGAGGGGGAGAAAGAGGAAGGGACAGAGGAAGAGAGTGGGAAGGAGAGAGGGTGGTAGACAGAGAGAGAAGGGAGGTAGAGAGTGAGAAGGATAGAGGGATAGCGAGAGACAGAAGGGAGAGAGAGACAGAAAGAAGGAGAGGGAGGGCGGGGTGGAGAGAGAGAGAGGGAGGAAGAGAGAGTGGGAGGAAGAGAGTGGGAGAGAGAGAGGTATGAAGACAGGGGGGAGGGAAAAGGAGGGAGAGAGCAAGGGATGGAGGAAGAGAGCAGAAGGGAGACAGAGAGAGAGAGAGGAGGAGAGGGAGGGCGGGGTGGAGAGAGGGAGGAAGGGAGGAAGAGAGTGGGAGAGAAAGAGGTATGAAGAGAGGGGGGAGGGGGAGGGAGAGAGCGAGGGACGGAGGAAGAGAGACAGAAGGGAGAGAAAGATAGAGAGAGTTGAGCAGAGTTGAGCTAGAAGACTTTGTTTCTCTCCAAAGAAAAAACGAAGGCACTTGGGAGGGGGGGGGGAGACTATTACCCGAACGGCCAGCTTACCCGCCAAGCACCTCCCTCCCATCCGAGGAGACCGCCAGGGAAAACACGGCAAAACGGCGTTCGTCGGGCCTGCGAAGAAGAGAAAGGCGTTATGCCAGGTGCTAGGGTGCGTCTCCGTTGTTCGACGGGGCCAGCCTGTGCGTGTGTGTGTGTGTTGTCCTCTTTACCTCAAGTCCAGGGCGGTCTGGGTCTCACTCTCCCCGTAGATGTTGCAGATGTGAACTAAAGAGAAGAAGGGAGCAAGGGCTAGTACAGACTCCCTGGAGGCAACCCAGTTTCCCCCCCTAAAGGTTCCCCTCGCACATTTCTCCTAGTCGTTCCCGACTCTAGGGGGCAGTGCTCATCTCCATTTCAAAGCCAAAGAGTTAAGTGCTGTCCGAAGATGTCTCCCTGGTCCTGTGGCCAGTGTGACTCAACTCCCGAAGGCTCACGGAATAGCAATAGCAGTTAGACTTATTTCAGCCCTCTCTAAGCAGTTTACAGAGTCAGCATATTGCCCCCAACAACAATCCGGGTCCTCATTTCACCCACCTCGGAAGTGAGGCAGGCAAAAATCATCAATCTA